GAAGACTGTAGAAGATTTGATGCATTTGAATTGTGGTGCTGGAAGGATATTGAAAGTATCATGGACTGCTAAAAGGACAACCCAATCTGTCTTGGAAGAAGTAAGGCCAGAGTGTTCCTTAGAGTCAAATATGGCAAGACTTCATTTTACATACTGTGTTAGTCTGGGTAGACTAGAGAAACAAATTCATAGAGACTCATATGTGTATAAGAAAGAGCTTTATATACAAGTACAGTTGAATATTGAGGAAACACCCCAGCCCAGTCCAGATCAAGTCTACAAGTTCTATATTGGCCCATATGTCCAATGCAATCTACAAAGTCCTCTTCTGACTCACAAAACACATGCAATGATGTCAAATGCAGGAAGATCACGGGCCAGTGGGTGGGAAGTCCTGTGGAACCAGTGGTGTTGTAAGCATCTCAGCTCTGGCAGGGGTCTCCACATGGCTTCTCCAGCACCAGGGTTTTGGCTTTATCAGGGTAGGGCCATGTGTCTTCTCCTCAGTGATGTCTCGCAGGGAGCCAGCCTTCTCAGTAAAGAGTCTCCAAGGAAGTGAGCCAAGAGACAGTAGTGTCTCCCACCTCTGAGGAGGAAAATACTGGAGTTTCCAGAATTCTGAGGAGAAGTCCATGCCCACACAGAGCCCTCATTGGCTATGATCCAATTGATAGACTCCATCCCTTCACTCATAATCCCATCAAGTCCCAACTTGACACCAGATTATGTAACTACCACACATCCTGTGGACATGTTGTCAGGAGAGATCAATCCCTGAAGAAGGACACTGTGTTTGGTGAAGTGGAAGGATGGTGAAAAGAGGAAGGCTCTCAACAAGATGGATTGACACGGTGGCTGCATCCATGGACTCAGGCATAGGAGCCATTGTGAGCATGCAATGGACCGTGCCGTGCTTCCTCCTGTTGTGCATAGATAGGGGCGCTATGGGTGGGAACCAACTTGATGACACCTGACACCAACATTGTTTGGTTGAAAAATCATCTCCAGGAATGGGTTCCTTTCTAGGTTTGAAGGGGATTTAGGGGCCATAGTCTCAGGGTTTCACCTGTCTCTGACAGACCTTTTTTTGATGGCACTTTTTGTTCTTTTTAAGCCTCTATGTTTTTCTTGCATTCAGGCCTGGACCCTCTCTCATGATACTGATCAGTGTAGTAAGTAGTGTAGTGATAGCCAGGCACCATCTATTACTTTTGATCTCAGACTAGTGAAGGCTATGGTTTTTCTGGTCCATTAGTCCTTTGGCCTAATTGCTCCCTTGAGTCTTTGATTTTCTCCACTCTTCTTTGTTCTAGACAAGAAGAGACCAATAATTACATCTTAGATTGCCACTCTCAAGCTTTTAAGAGCTCAGCTGCTAATCAAAGTTTAACATTGTCTTTATGGACTATGTTCTATCAATTGACCTAGATGTTTTCCGAGACCAGGGTCCTAATCTCTCGGGCCTAGAAACTCAGTCCTTAAAGGTATTTAATTATGGCTAAGAAATTTGCATAACTTGTATGCTCCACTATATGCCTGGGTATATTTGAATCACATACAAATACATATTTAGAAATGTCTCCTGTGAAACCAATATATGTGCCCATATGCTATCCCACACCCACTCAGTATACTACTACTTAGGCCCATTATTGTTGCTACTGTTACTGCTGGATTGTATATGTAATAGCATTGACCTTGCTTTTGTACTTACCTCCCAGTGGTTTCCTTTGCCTTAATCATATTGTACTAACCTCCATTTTATTTTATACTACTGTGACAGTTAGGATTTTGTGTTAACTTGGCTGGGCTAGGATTCTCCCAAAAACGTAATCAGCTCCGTGATGGGATGGATCTATCTTCTGTGAGCAGTCAAGCAGTTGTGGGAAGAATAGGGTGGAGTGACCCTTAATCAGGCCATATCCTTGATATAATTGAAAAGAAGTTTCATCCAGGGTGGGGCTTGGTGTTAAGTGCTAATGAGCTAGTTTCAACCCATAGTGGCTCTATGTACAACAGTATGAAAAACTGCCCCATCCTGCACCATCCTCACAATTGCTCATATATTTGATGGAGCCCATCTGTGTTAGTCCGGGTAGACTAGAGAAACAAATTCATAGACACTCATGTGTATAAGAAAGAGCTTTATATAAAAGAGCAATTGTATATTGAGAAAACATCCCAGCCCAGTCCAGATCAAGTCCATAAGTCCAATATTAGCCCATATGCCTGATAC